TCCAATTGAACATGGTGATTTTCCCATTGAACATGGTAATTTTCACATTGAACACATTGTGATTTTCCCATTGAAAATGATGATTTTCACATTGAAAATGGTGATTGTCCCATTGAACATGGTGATTGTCCCATTGAACATGATGATTTTCCCATTGAACATGATGATTTTCCCATTGAAAATGGCGATTTTCCCATTGAACATGGTGATTTTCCCATTGAACATGATGATTTTCCCATTGAAAATGGCGATTTTCCCATTGAACATGATGATTTTCCCATTGAACATTATGATTTTCCCATTGAAAATTGCGATTTTCCCATTGAAAATGGTGATTTTCCAATTGAAAATGATGATTTTCCCATTGAACATGATGATTTTCCCATTGAAAATGTCGATTTTTCCCATTGAACATGATGATTTTCACATTAAACATGATGATTTTCCCATTGAAAATGGCGATTTTCCCATTGAACATGATGATTTTCACATTGAAAATGACGATTTTCCCATTGAACATGATGATTTTCCCATTGAACATGATGATTTTCCCATTGAAAATGGCGATTTTCCCATTGAACATGGTGACTTTCCCATTGAAAATGGTGATTGTCCCATTGAACATGGTGATTGTCCCATTGAACATGGTTATTTTCACATTGAACATGGTGATTTTCCCATTGAACATGGTGATTTTTCCCATTGAAAATGGTGATTTTCCAATTGAACATGGTGATTGTCCCATTGAAAATGATGATTTTCACATTGAAAATGGTGATTGTCCCATTGAACATGGTGATTGTCCCATTGAACATTGTGATTTTCCCATTGAAAATTGTGATTGTTCTATTGAAAATTGTGATTTCATTGAAAATTGTTATTTTCCGATTGAAAATTGCGATTTTCGCATTGAAAATGATGATTGTCCCATTGAACATGGTAATTTTCACATTGAAAATGTTGATTGTCCCATTGAACATGGTGATTTTCCCATTGAACATGGTAATTTTCACATTGAACATTGTGATTTTCCCATTGAAAATGATGATTTTCCCATTGAAAATGATTATTTTCACATTGAAAATGGTGATTGTCCCATTGAACATGGTGATTGTCCCATTGAACATTGTGATTTTCCCATTGAAAATTGTGATTGTCCCATTGAAAATTGTGATCTCATTGAAAATTGTTATTGTCCGATTGAAAATTACGATTTTCCCATTGAAAATTGCGATTTTCCCATTGAAAATGGCGATTTTCCCATTGAACATGATGATTTTCCCATTGAAAATGGTGATTGTCCCATTGAACATGGTGATTTTCCCATTGAACATTGTGATTTTCCCATTGAAACTGGTGATTGTCCCATTGAACATGGTGATTTTCCCATTGTACATGGTAATTTTCCCATTGAACATGGCAATTTTCCCATTGAAAATGGCGATTCTCCCATTGAAAATTGCGATTTTCCCATTGAACATGGCGATTTTCCCATTGAACATGGCGATTTTCCGATTGAACATGGCGATTTTCCGATTGAACATTGTGATTTTCCCATTGAAAATGATGATTTTTCCATTGAAAATGATGATTTTCACACTGAAAATGTTGATTTTCTAATTGAGAATTGTGATTTTCCCATTGAACATTGTGATTTTCCCATTGAAAATGGTGATTTTCACATTGAAAATGGTTATATTACATATTATATTGTCCCATTGAAAATTGTGATTTTCCAATTGAAAATGGTGATTTTCTTATTGAAAATTGTGATTGTCCCATTGAAAATTGTGATTGTCCCATTGAAAATTCGTATTTTCCCATTGAAAATGGCGATTTTCCAATTGAAAATTGTGATTGTCCCATTGAAAATTGTTATTTTCCAACTGAAAATGGTGATTGTCCCGTTGAAAATTGTGATCTCATTGAGAATTGTTATTGTCCCATTGAAAAATGTGATTTTCACATTGAAAATGTTGATTTTCCCATTGAAAATTGTGATTTTCCCATTGAACATGGTGATTTTCCCATTGAACATTGTGATTTTCCCATTGAAAATGGTGATTTTCCCATTGAAAATGATGATTTTCACATTGAAAATGGTGATTGTCACATTGAAAATGGTGATTGGGAAATTCCGTAATCATACAAACTTCTCCCGTTACTTGTGGTAAAGTGTTAATCATAGCAATTTCCATATGCAAACCATGGTCCTGGGATATAAAAACCAACATTTGCCCTTGTCCAAAATCACCCAGTTTTGTAGGTTTTTATATACCAGCACCATTGTTCGCATATTATGGATGGTGCCCCAGTGTGGAATCGCTCAGTTTTTTCTAAGTATACTTAACGAACCTCTAAAACATATTAGAAAATCATCCTCGAACAGGGCTGGAAAATCCCAACCAATTGAATGACAAGATATGGAAGAATCATCTGCCCTCTGGTTAACTAACATAACTATGGAAAATCACCATTTTATAGCGGGGTAAATCAACTATAAATGGCAATTTTCAATAGCTATGTTTGTTTACCAGAGGGTATCATTTGATTGGTTTAAGGGACATCTACAGGAAACCATTGTTGTTCCTATGAAAAAACTGTGGTTTTCCTGCAAATTTTCCCTCAAACCAATCCAATGAATCTATCTAAATGGGTGATTTTCCACCACGCAAGGTTGACTGACTGGATTCTCATGCTAAGATGCCACTGTTTCAAGGGTGATCATTTCGACCCACTGACATGTTCGACCCACATGATATCTGATATCTATGGATTTTGTGGATGATACGGATATTAGATATGGCTATTTTCAACATATGCTAAATATGTGTTTATTTATATATATATATATGATTATAATAAATATGTATATATATATATATTTATAAAAATGGGGATACCAAAATTAATTGCTGGTTTAAATTTGGACAATGATGATAAATCAATGGCATTTTGGGGTACAGTAAAACTTCGCATATTTATCATTTATCTATATACATAGTATATGGCCTCCGAGCAATACACAATGAACACAAAAACAACACGCATACCAGAAAAAACAAACACAACAACTTGCTATAAAATAAAAAAATATGAACAAGAACAAATAAACTCTTTCTGTGTGTATCAGATGTCTAGCCTGTTTTTTTTTCGCCACCCCAAACAGATGCGCTGGCGCCGGCGCCGGCGCCTGACTTCAGCAATCCTTCCACCGTGGCCAAGCCGATTCCAGTAGAGGCGCCAGTGATCACGGCCACCTGTGGCGCCACATTGATTAACCTCTGGTAAACATACAGAAAACGATGGAAACTCACCATTTTTGATTGGTAAATCAACGAGCAATAACTAAATGGGCCATGTTCAATAGCAAACTGTTAGTTTACCAGAGGGTATCCATACTGATTCATCAAATTGAAGTCTATATAAATAGCATTCAGTATGGAATTTTACGATCATCAATATCTTTTAAATTTCAAAATCGAAGCATAAAATCATTGTCGTAAGGCAGTCAAATAATCTCCGCACAACGCTGGTGGTAAAAACCAACTGAGATCATCATCCCAGGTAGGGGTTGCCATTGACAAATAAAGCTGGTCTTATTGGTCATATCCCACGTGTTCCCCTACCGAAAGCGAACTTGTTGCGATGGATAGGATCCCCCATTTATTTTTGGCTCGTAGATATCGCCAATCTAACAAACCCCTGTTCGTTTTTAGTGGTACCTTACTTACTTAAGTAGGGTAAATTAACATATATAGAAAAAATCATAGAAAATCCAATGGGTAGATCGTTTTCCTAAGGAACATGCGGAACATGGATAGTTTTTCCCATGGTTTTCCACATCGAAAACTCACTAAACCCGGGTAGATCTCCCATCCGTGGCCCACCCGAATCCCACCTTGCCAGAGCTCACAGGGGAGCCTTGAACAGCGCGCGTTTTTCACCGCCGATGATCCCATGATTCCAATCATAAACCATGGATATTCCACATGGGATTATCCCATTGGTATATGATTGGGATATCATGATTATCCGATTGGCATTACATGATCATACCATTGGGATATTTAAGTATCATGTTATGTGATAAACCATGATTATCCCATTGGTCATCTGGTTATGATCAACAGTTTGCCATGGAAGCCATGGCCCATAGAAATTGATGGTTTACCGAACTTGAAAATGGTGGATCTTTCCATGGCTATGTTCAATAACCAGAGGGTATATGACTGGGATATCATGATTATCCCGTTGGCATTACATGATTATACCATTGGGATATTTAAGTATCATGATATGTGATAAACCATGATTATACCTTATATTGGTATATCAGATATATCGCATTATCCATGAAATACAAATCGAATGATTATCACATTTATTAATAGATATTTATCCAGAAATGTTCAGCCATGGCCCATAGAAATAGATGGTTCACCGAACTTAAAAATGGTGGATCCTTCCATGGCTATGTTAAAAAACCAGATGGTATCATCATACATCGTATATATCATATTACATATACCATCATATACCTGATTAATACTGATTATACCTTTGAAAGTTACTACGTAACATGGCTATGTAACTTCAATCAAATCATAACGCATTACCGATGCAAAACGCACCAACACAACGGGGGTCAAAAAACTTGCGAATCAGTGACCAACGACCGCCTTGCGAATCAGTCTCTGATTTAAGTTGGCCTTCTGTGGCAGCAAAACCATGCAGTTTACCCAGTTTTTGACGGAATACAGCGCGCACGAAGTCGCAGCACCAACTCCCCTTCCCCGTTAAGGGGGGCACGAGGTGTAAGGAGGCGGGTAAACCGAGAATGGAAAGCACGCAGCTAACTACAATGTACTGGCAGTATGCCAGGGAAATGTCACACTCAGGGTAGCAGTTGACAAACCACGTCGCGCGGTCGTCCCTTGCCGAGTGAAAAGCCAATGGCATACAGAAGCAGCAATGTTGTCAGAGCTGCTTCGAAAATGACAGATCTTAGAAGGCTGTACAGCAACAAGCTCAAGCACAAAGGCAAGCAAGAGAGTTTTGGCAAACAAGTGCAAGCAAGCATCAACTGCAAGCAAATCAAGTCAAGGAAAAACCTGTCACAAAGTGCAGGCACCTAACTGTTGGTAAACTCGGGGTGTTCCGCCCTCCGGAGTTTTTACTCAATGACAAGCTCGGGTGGCAAGCTATCAACATCATCGAAGTCAGTGACAAGCCAGGACCTACAAGTGATGCACAAGAGTGCGCTGGTAGGCTAGAACACACTTGTGGCTCAAGTCTGGGGCAAAGGCTGAAGTCACCGGCAAATCAGGGCATTGCAGAAAGCGAGTGGCATGAGCCCATAATATCCTCCGCAAAGCAATCCAACGACACACACCATGCCATAAGGTTTTGGGTTCCTGCATTCAGGTGTTGGCATCACACCTCCACCATCTGTCATGATTTCAAGATGCTTGGCCAGGCCAAAGGCATGCGAGCAAACAACGGACGCCAACCCCTCCATCTCTGCTCCATGGTTCAAGTGTCATCTTCAAGAGGTAACTGTCTGTGATGTCATGTGGACGCGACCTGACTTCAGTCCCATGCCACGGAACTGACTGATATTTCGCTGAAAGATGAGAAGTATCCACAAGACCGGACAACAGAACCTCTGAAGATCCAATAGCAACCACCCGAAGGCCAATCAAAGTCAAAACACAAGTCACTCGAAAGCAATGGGATCACATACTCGAGGATCAGCAGAGGAGGAACGTGGGAAAACTGCATGGCTCAGTTAGAAAGGGGCCACCTCCCCACCTTGCTACGTGGAAGCCTGAGCCCAGAGGCTACCCAGTTTTTGACCAAGCTCATTCCCATATCCGAACCATGGTGCTGGGATATAAAAACCAACATTTGCCCTTGTCCAAAATCACCCAGTTTTTGTAGATTTTTATATACCAGCACCATGGTTCGCTAATCTGGGATTTACCAGGGCTTACTACGAAAAACCATGGTCCATGTCACACAACGTAAACCACCAAGATCCACAACATTCTAAGGCCCAGAACGATGCTCAGTCAGTCTGGTATCATTAAATTGACATTTTTCTTGAAGCATTTATGTATCAATGTTGGACACTTATATATATATTATAGTTAGTTTATATGCATTTTATGTAATATATATATATTATATATATACAGTTTATTCATAATACACTAATTCTTCAAGCCAAGTTCCATCTCATGTTCCATTGTTTAAAACCTAGACCCTCCAGTATATTATTTGCACCCAAATTGGGGGAAGTACTTAGATGGGCCATGGGATCAGCTCACTGGTTACTAACTGGCGTGTTAGTTAACCGCTAGTATATCTCAATATTATCTCAACTATAATCAATTTCCATTAACATGATTGACATTAAGTTAACATTAGTTAACTAACTCCATTTCCGAACATATTTAACTAACATTAACTAACTCCATGGCCCAAGCACTTCCCATGGCTTCAATAAAAGGTCCCTGCTCGCCTCCCACGTTCACCGTGAAGGATGTGGGCTCCACGTCCTCCGAGAAAAATCGGTGGATTTACCTTTGGTTCATGATAAGTTATAGCAACACAGGTAAACATAAACCATTAAATTATATAGTAACATGATAATGATCATAAACATTAATAATTTTATCATGAACCACTGTCAAACATTAATTAAATTATCATAATCAATGAACCAAAGTTTACCAACCTATGATTAATGTTACCAAACTATGGTAAATGATACTATAGTTAATGTTATATCTATCATAAACCATAGTTTGGTAAGATTATTCAGAACCATTCGACTAAACCATAGTATGGTATGATAGATATAACATTAACTATAGGTTAACATGAACCATTAGATGAATTCGATGCTTAATCCACTTTAAATTGTAAATTAACCCCAGTAAGATGGTTCATGTTACCAAGATCTTTGGGGTTTATCCACTTTTTTTTGAGTAAACCCCAAGATATTGGTGGTGTGCCGTGTCTTTTTTGTCCATCTAAGTCCCACTATCCGTCCTTGAAAGCCACCATTCACCTGGTGGGGTTACCCAGGTTGATGTTAATTGATGATGATTGATGTAGATGGATGTAGATTTTATATCCTTATCTTTCTGAACGTCCAATCCCTGTTTTCTCCTCTGCGTCCATGACCTCGAAGCGCCCAAAACGAATACCCATGGGGATAGGCCATGGTGGCTGCCAGTGGTATTAATAGGTGGCTGCCATGGTTCGGAAATGGATTGTAATTTAGATATAAAAAGAGATATACTATAGCGGAGATAACAAAGAAAAAGCATAGTATATAGAATAATTTATATATATAATAGCTTGTATAAGACTCAAACATGGACGATCAAATCATTTTATGGGGTATTCTGTGAGAATATCATGGGGATATGAGAGAACCATGGTGGGGATATAGCCTGAGGGGTGTCATCAAACATGGCTGGCTGGGAAAATCATCGAACAAATGGAGGTTTTAATTGGACAATCAACGATAACTGGTGGATTTTCTATAACTGGGATATCACATGGTATCATCCAGGGATATATCCAATGAACACCTACACACACATATATATATGTATATATATATATTACTTTAAAGAAATATATTTTCAATATCCTCATGATATCCAATGGATATTTTTTGGAATATCATAACGATATCATCTGGAATATCGTTGGAATATCAAAATGCAATTTGGATATAATGTACATTCATTTACACTAGACTACAATATCAAGCAGCTACGAAAGGGATAAACTGATTTGGATATTGATAATAAGTATATATATATATATTAGTTGGTTGGTTTCAACATGTTTCAACTTGCTCCCCACAATATGAGCCAATTGGCGCCATCAGAGGGCCATGAAAAGCCATCTAAGTGAGGAGTAAACGGAGTAAACCAAAGCTTCTGGGAATATCATGAGGATATGTCATATCTATGTCTATCTATATCTATATATTATATATATATATATACATATATATATATAAAGGCAATATCATCAACAATATGGCGGTTTTCCCGAATGCGTAGCAAGGGTTCCCGTTTCACTCTGGGGGTCTGGGGGTTGAGGGTGTGTTCGCTCGACGTTGCGTTCGCGAGCGCAACCGTCCGCAACCGTTCGCAACCGTTCGCCGTTCGCAACCGTTCGCAACCGTTCGCAACCGTCCGTGCGAGGACCCGTATGGCCGTGCCTATGGGAAGTTTTTACAGAGGTGGTCATTTTTGGAGGTTTCAGACGTGTCGTTGCTTCGTTTCGCGTGGCAGGCGTGGCACTTCGTGACATTCAGACGTGTTTTGCAACGTGTTGAAAATCGTTTTGCGTGGCAGGCGCAATACTTTTGCGACGTTTTCAGAAGATGTGTTGCAGTTTTCGTGGCAGGCGCAGCACTTTGGACGTGTCCATCGCCATTTTTCGTGGCAGGCGCAGCACTTTAGACGTGTCATGTTGCGTGTTTTTTGCAAATCGCATTGGCAGGGCTGCGTCAAGTGGCGACAAGGTGCAAATTCCGTGGCAGGCGTGGCATTTTCTGACATGTGCTGAAAATTGACGGAAGCCTCGCACGAAACATCGATTTTGAGGTTGCAAATTTTCACGTTCTAAGGAAAACTCGTAGGAAAACGTCGATTTTGAAGCTACAAAGTGTGAAAATTGTAGGAAGTCTCGCACGAAATGCTCGTTTTGGCGCTCCCACGTGTCGCGTCTCGCGTCTCTGGTTTTCCGGTGGCCTCGTCGTGTCTATGGTGGAAGCTGCAAAACTTCTCCTTTTGTCATGTTGCCAACTGTGAAAATTGGAGGAAGCCTCGTACGAAATGATCGTTTTGGTGCTCCCACGTGTCTCGTCTCGAGTCTCTGGTTTTCCTGTGGCTTCGCCGTGTCTATGGGGGAAGCCGCAAAACCTCTCCTTTTCGAAGGTTTCCAAGGAAGTTGTCATGTCGTTTTGCGTGGCAGGCGTGGCACTTTGTGACATTCCAACCTGTTTGATAATGTGTCAAAAATGTCAAAATTGGAGGAAGCCTCGTACGAAATGCTGGTTTTTCTGCATCCACATGTCTTGTCTCGAGTCGCTGGTTTTCCTGTGGCGTCGCCGTGTCTATGGGGGAAGCTGGAAAACATGTCCTTTTCGAATGTTTCCAAGCAGGTTGTCATGTCGTTTTGCGTGGCAGGCGTGGCACTTTGTGACATTCCAACCTGTTTGATGATGTTCACAAAATTTCAAAATTGGAGGAAGTCTCGTAGGAAATGCTGGTTTTTCTGCATCCACGTGTCTTGTCTCGAGTCGCTGGTTTTCCTGTGGCGTCGCCGTGTCTATGGGGGAAGCTGGAAAACCTCTCCTATTCGAATGTGTCCAAGCAGGTTGTCATGTCGTTTTGCGTGGCAGGCGTGGCACTTTGTGACATTCCAAACTTGTTTGATAATGTGTTGAAAATGTCAAAATTGGAGGAAGTCTCGCACAAAATACTCATTTTTCTGTACCATGCAACTCGTCTCGAGTCTCTGGTTTTCCTGTGGCGTCGTCGTGTCTATGGGGGAAGCTCCGCACTCTACACTTTACACTCCACACTTTACATTTTGCACTTTACACTCCTCACTCCTCACCTGAGACTTGACACTCCACATTCCACACTTTACACTCCTCACTCCACACTCCACACTTTACACTCCTCACTCCACACTTTACACTCCACACTCCTTACTTTACACTCCACACTTCACACTCCACACTTTCCACTCCACACTCCAACTTGTAACAAATGGGAAAAGGACAACAAGGGAAACGAAGAAAGAAACAAAATACCACTACACTCCACACCCCTCCTTTACACTCCACACTCCACACTTTACACTCCACACTCCACACTCTACACACCACACTCTACACTTTCCACTCCACACTCCACACTCTACAATTTACAAACTCCACACTCCTTACTCCACACTTTACACTCCTCACTTTACACTCCACACTCCACACTTTACACTTTACACTCCTCACTTTACACTCCACACTCCACACTTTACACTCCACACTCACTTTACACTCCACACTTCACACTCCACACTTCACACTCCACACTTTCCACTCCACACTCTACACTCCACATTCTACACTCCACACTTTACACTCCACACTCCACACTCTACACACCACACTCTACACTGTACGCTCCACACTCCACACTTTACACTTGACACTCCACACTTTACACTCCTCACTCCACACTCCACACTTTACACTCCACACTCCACACTTTACACTCCTCACTCCACACTCCACACTTTACACTCCACACTCCTTACTTTACACTCCACACTTCACACTCCACACTTTCCACTCCACACTCCACACTTTACACACCTCACTCCACACTTTACACAACTCCCTCACTTTACCTCCACAACTTTTACAAAACACTTCCACAAAACTCCTTCTTGCACAACTCCACCAACATCCACACTTTAACCTTTTACAACCCGCACTCACACGCCTCACTCCACACACACTACACTCCACACCCCTCCTTTACAACTCCACACTCCACACTGGGGGGGGGGAATTAACACTCCACACTCCCACCCTCCACCTACTACACCCCACAGCTCTACACTTTGACTCCACACTCACACTCTAACACTCCACACTCCACACTCCCTAACACACCACAAACTCATACACTCCACACTCTACACTTTCCACTCCACACTCCACACTCTACACTCTACACTCCACACTCTACACTTTACACTCTACACTTTACACTCTACACTTCACACTCTACAATTTTCAAACTCCACACTCCTCACTCCACACTTTACACTCCTCACTTTACACTCTACAATTTACAAACTCCACGCTCCTTACTCCACACTTTACACTCCTCACTTTACACTCCACACTCCACACTTTACACTCCTCACTTTACACTCCACACTCCACGCTTTACACTCCACACTCCTTACTTCACACTCCACACTCCACACTCTACACTCTACACTTTCCACTCCACCCCGCAGACTGGTAACAAGGGAAACATGCACAAGACTGTTCAAATAAACTATTGCAGAAAGTTATTGTGCGTGACTGCATAACCATGTGTTGTGACATCTGTGCCATTAACATACGTGTGAGCATTCGGGTTCGTGGGCTTCATCTTGTTTTGACTTTGCCCCGTCTGTCCTTCCATGAAATATTGCTCAGTTACAAGATTCCCAGCTCATGGTGCTGGCTTTTTAATGGTGAACTAATCTGGTTGGTGGTATACCTACCCCTCTGAAAAATATGAAAGTCAAATGGAAGTATTATTCCCAATATATATATATATATATATGGACGAATAAAACATGTTCCAAACCGCCAACCAGACTAATTGTCACCCAACTAGCATTTTTCGTTGGTATATCGTTGATGGTACTACTTTTTGAATGATGGTGAAGTGCCAATCAATTCACCAACGGGGCCAAACAAAGACGTCATCCGTCAACGCCTCGGCAAAAATGGCTTAGTTAGGCCAAATCGCTGGCGTTCTCAGCGCATGCTGCACAGTTCGCGACGGTCGCAGAGTACTTGGGAAAGCCAGAAAGGTGCAGCCTGGGCGGATGTGCATCCCGTAGCACAAAAGAAGGAAATCGATGGCCATTTCAGGTAATTACCGAAAGTGGAGGTACCTAACATACCTAAACTTCAAGGGATATCCCCAAAATTTCTATGGCTTATGCTAGGTCTAATCTAGGTCTACTCACGTAGCTCCATTCTGTCCATGGAATTCCCATCTTTAAAAAGGTGAGTTGTTACACACCAGTTAGGCTGATGAGTTGTTAAGATTTAGCGGGCAGTAAATTCACTTGTTGACCCTGAAAATAGATTAACATAGTCCATTCAATGGGATTTTCAGGATCCTAAATTGGAGGTACCTAACATATGTAAGGCCTATGTAAGGCCTATGTAAGGGAACATCCTTAGAAAATATGGCCTTATATGGTACTAACGTACCTCCATTTTAGGATCCTGAAATTCCCATTGATCCATGTTTATCCATCTTGAGTGGATTTCATCCATTTTTAGTCCATCTTTAGTGGAAAATCATCTGAGACCCTCGACTCATCTATGTGAATTTGGGGGAGGATATTCACCAATATTCACCACTTACTCTTGCGATGTATCATGAAGTATCCCCCAAGCGGGTCATGGAACGAGCTACATCCCCAAACGTGCCTGGGAAGATACTGGATTATTACAGGTTGCAATGGGGATTGTTTAGGGAATACATATCCTGAAGAAAAACATCGAACCTCTCAAGTGCAATTTCACAGCTTACATTCTAAGTGTTGGGAACTATGAACAAAATCATCATGGACATTGCAATTCATGATGTGGGAAATGATGTGGATATCACGTCTATCTCATGGGAGAACAGTTGCCAATCCACGCTTCAATTATCACTGTGGCTGGTGGTGTCAACTCCGAAGAATATTGATCTCTGATCATCGAAGATTTCTCATATGGGTTTGTTTGAAAATAGTGTACCCCTACACCCAATGGTTAATGATCATTATCCCTACTAAATGGCTATAATTGGGGGTATACCCCATTTTCAGACATACCCACATTTTAAGTATACGACTGCTGGCTGCTGCCATTTTCTTCGAAAAAATGCTGCATGTTTTCACCTGACTGTGACACTGTGGCTGTCAGCTAGGGATTTTTTCGGGATTTGGCCGAGATGTCCATCAATCAACTCGTGGAGAGGTGCAGCTAATCGTTGGCGAAATTCTTGGTGGTTGACATGCTCAAAACATCTCAGAAGTGTTCGCGGACGACTTTCTAGACTGAGACCATAGCAATCCAAAAACAAACATCTTGACCAACAAACAAGCCAGAGCAGCACCACTCCAAAAACCAACAAACCAATGTGAAGGACTCCAGACTGGGACATTGTTTTTGACTACAAAGAAAACAATCGTGTGGATTCAGAAATTGTTGGTTAGTGCAGTGTTTGTTCCTTTTTCTTGTCAGTGGTCATAATAAGTCATAATGGTTGGTGCAAAGTAGGTATGGTCCAAAATTCCTTTACCTTTCTGAACCCACCCAAAATCGTATTCCCTAAATGTGATATGAGACATCTTGAGCCTTTCCAGTTTTTACCCATCCACATCCTTCCAGCGATTCATCTCCATTCACATATGGGTATAGAATGCCATCAGAAGGTATCCCACCATAACCAGGGATGATGAATGCCATAATTACATCATGGAAATCTGTAGGAAATTATGGGGCATGCCATACATCATCATGATGGAAATCTATAGGAAATTATGGGGGATGCCCTACATCATCATGGAAATCTGCAAGAAAAATATGGGGAATTCCATACATCATCATGGAAATCTGCAAGAAAATTATGGGGAATGCCATACATCATCATGGATATCTATAGGAAATCTATAGGAAATTATAGGGAATCTTGGTAAAGATGCCCGTAAAGAAACACAGCGATCCTCAGATTTATTTTTCCCTCCAAGGAACCAAGATAAAACCAGGCGGCAGCCACCACGCCCGCTGAACCTCGCGCCTGGATTTTTTTTGTCGTCGGAGAGTGAATCGCAGCAAAACCCAAGGATACCCGGCCTGGTAATGACTAACAGTTTGCTATTGAAAATGGCCATTTATAGTGGATTTTCCCATGAAAAATGGTGATTTTCCATAGTTTTTTTGTATGTTTACCAGAGGGTAAATGATCATTCAAATGTTGCGTTGAATAAGAAATTATCATTGACAAAAACAACGGTACATGTATGATCTATATTCTGGTTGGTGGTTTCAACCATCTTGAAAAATATGAAAGTCAATGGGAAGGATTGTGCCCATATATGAAATGGAAAATAAAAAATGTTTGAAACCACCACTTTGTCACCACTTTGTCGAACGCGTCACCAGAGAGATCGCTGGCAACCCGGTTTTCAGGTGTTCAGCCTACACTGAAGAAATCCAAACCCTTGCACGAAGACCTGAGGGATTGAACGTACCAATGTGAAACATCTTTTCATCAAAGTGGGCAGGAGGCCCAGGGTTTGATGCTTCCCCAATTCGCAGAAGCCCAGCAGACATCAAAATGAAAAACCTCCATGGTCTTACCTTCACAGCCGACTGCCTGGGTTGACACACGGTCATCTGCAAAAACATGTAAAAGGCGATTGCACAAACTGTGGGGATCAGGGCTCCCATGAAACAACCTAATGTGAGCAGGCAAACCAAAATGCACACACTTCCTTGTCTAGGAAACCCTTCCCCATACCGTCATTCCATACTGGACTCATCACGGGGGCGCTTCGACAGAAGGCCTCGGATCTGCACCATTTGGTGTTCCATCAGTGCCTGCATATTCTGACAGTGCCCATCGATTTGACCTTGCAACTGTTGGCTCTGCTGGGTCAATTGGCATGGCATCGTTGCGAACTGCTGAGCGTTCTGATTTGACAAATCCTGCACATTCTGATCCAAAGCCTTGTGCTGTCCCATCAGCTGCTGAACCTGATTCTCCAGGGTGGACAAACGTTCTGGCATGTCATCCTGTTCCATCTGGGTCATAGCCGTCAATTTCTGAAGGACTTCATTCTGGATCCTATCAGCAAGTTGCTGAATCCCATCACTGGCACTTGGGATGCATGAGGCAGACTTGCTCTGGGTATACTGTTTCCAAGGATCTTGTGCAATCCACGGGTCATCACCAGCCTTCAGCTGAGAATCCTTGCCGCACAAGGAGATCGTGCTGGCCGCACCGACCGTGTGAACCCTCGCACTTTTGGACTGCAAGCTCTGCGACCTATGTCGTGAAATCACCACTTCACCATGTGTCGTTGTCAGTATGGAGGCAGGGGGATCTTCAATTGTCTGAAGCAGCCAATCATGTTCCAGTGCCAAAATCGGAGTTGGATATTGCTGCTGATATCGAACATTCATCAGGCTAAATCGCTCATGAGAACCATCCAGTAATCCATGCAGTTTGAACGTCACCTTGTCATACAGAGCTTCCATAATGTGAGCTTCATGACATGGGTCAAAGCAACACAATTTCGAAACCAGGGAGACCTTCTCACCTACAGCATGATCAGCGAACGTCATGGGGAATGAAGCCATGGCAAAACCCTGTAAAGATACCTGCCCAAGATCGGTGGTGGACGGCCGCAGCTGCTGGTAGCATTGGGCAATCGCGGCTGTTTGAAACCACCAACCAGATATATAATGGTCATAATGGTGATACTATAAATGGTGATACTAATAAAATGATCATAAATGATGATTATCACTATAATAATTTATAAATTTATGATGTATAATCACAAACGTTGTGTTTTGTCATTTAACGTTGTGATTTTCGAAAAATGCCAGGTCAATTCCTGGTGCTGTGTTAACCTTGGTATCTCTACACCCAAACGTGAGAAGCTGTCATGGGACCGTCCCACTTCCACAAACGCGCATCACCGATGCTTCAACTTCGTGAGATGCGATATATACTTTGGATACATGGGTCATTGGCATGATATGTAAAACTAGCATGAGAGCTTCAACTTATTGCAAAACAAGATATAGACATCTCGATCATCTCGACTAACTGTTGTTCAATGCTTGGTGTACTTGGTCGTGTTTGAACTAACTGACAGACGCTTGGTTGTGGCTTCACGTTCCTCGGATTCTAAGGACTTTCTGCTTGGTGGGCGCTCGATGGCGCTCGCCACCACCACAACCATCACCATCCCAGGTAGAAGTAGGATGAAACAACAGTCTCTGCAGTGTCACCCAGCGATAAAGCCAGGAAGAAACACATATCTAGATATTCCGATCTTCCGTAATCATACAAAATTCGCCCGTGACTTGCAATGTGGTAAAGTGTTAATCATAGCAATTTCCATATGCAATGAGTAATTCATAATCTACCCCCATTCCTCAACTGGATCCGAGCTGTCACCATCCCAAGGCTGTGCCTCCTGGTTATTGGTTTAGAATTTGATACTGTAACCTTATCTAATAACCAGGGGGCACCACCTAGAGATTCAGCCAACTTATAATCAAATTCTCCCCAACAAACTAATTGTAACTAATGATCCAACATTACATCAAATTAACTTATCCATTGGTAATTAGAAGCCTCAACGTTCCTGACTTCGAGCATCCCGACGCGCTGCATTTCGAACAACCCACCGCGGTTTGCGGTTTGCAGGAGCCAAGTGGCTAACGGAGAGAGGATAGTAAGGGAATATTGATCAATGGTCATTTTATTAATGGGAATAATAATGTTTAATGGGAATATCAATGGGAATATATGCTGTAGATAATACTAGGAAAAAACACATTTTGGAATATCGGGATATTTCATGGGATATATAACTATCAATATTCCCATATGCGAACCATGGTGCTGGTATATAAAAACCTACAAATCTGGGTGATTTTGGACAAGGGCAAATATTGGGAAATATTCCAGCACCATGGTTCGCATATGGGATTTCTAATTCTATTGAAACAGAGAGGATACATTATCAGATACATGTTCTATTTCTATATTCTATGTTCAATTTTGAGAAAAGGAACAACATTTAACTAGACCATGATCATATCTGATAAAATATGATAAACTCAACTAGTTTTCACATTTTGATAAACCATTGGTTTTCAGTGGTACCCAATTTTTTGTTGGGACAACCCCCTCGATGCAGGCAACTACTCATAATAACATCACAGAATATGACTGGCTGCTTGGTAATGCTTGGTGATGCATACTTGGTGGCTCATCCCACTTAGTAAGTGGATTATAACCCCAGTTATAAGTGGATTAACCCTACTTATCCCACTTATAGCTGGGCTTATAATCCACTTGCTAAGTCGCATGAGCCATCAAGTACCATTTCTTCTCCTCTTGTACTGAACATGGACGGCCACTCTGTTCCACTCATTTGTCGTCCTTTTTGAGATGGCCTGGATGCTCATCACCTACAGGATTTCCATCGGTGAAGATGAGTATGTTTGATTGTTGTTTTCTAGGTGTGAAATAGGTCCACATTAGATAGCCCTAAAATTGGGTGATGATAGTTTTCCGGAATCAGCAACTGGATTTTGACACCCCTGGTAATAGCGTTCTGTCACACTGTTGGAATAGCATCCATCCCCCAAAAGGGAGCTTTCACCATGAATGATCTGATCATTGTCCATGGCTTCCCCACAAGTTTTCCACATCTATGCTAACGTACATATAGATAGATATATATATATATAACTATCTGTATGGGTTTGTCTGAAAAAGACAGGTCCTCCAAATCCAAAGGCTAAATCCCCATAGAAAATCCCATTCAAAACATACAGGCAACTGAATGCCACAAACCTACAATGACTGGGTTTTTTGTGCATGGACCATCCATATTTTTTGCGGTGACTTGGGGTTCACAACCGGGGGGATGGTAAACATGGCAGGGTTCACAAGCCTCTTATTCAATGGGAATTTCAGGATCCTAAAATGGAGGTACGTTAGTACCATATAAGGCCATATTTTCTAAGGATGTTCCCTTACATAGGCCTGAAAAATAGGCCTTGTATATGGTAGGTACCTCCAATTTAGGTTCCTGAAATGGCCATTGACTTATTTCCTGTAGGCTACCCAGAGCATCCTCACTTGAAAAAAATCAAGTGAAATATTGAATTTTTTGCATTTTCAAGTGGCGATTGAAATTTGCAATCGATTGAATTTTTCAAGTGAAAGGTAAAAAAAACGATTGAATTTTCTATTGAAAACTGAGAAATTTCTATTGAATTTTCACTTGAATTTTCAACTTGAAAAAAAACAATTTTCTATCAATTGTTTGCAATTTTCCAAGCCTGATTGCAGCTGGGCTGGATAGCCCTTGCAGGCTGGATAGCCTCATCTTTTGGCAGTTTCCAAATCATGCTTGCAGCTGGGCTGGGTAGCCTCATCACTATAGGCTGGATAGCCTCATCACTATAGGCTGGATAGCTTCATCACTATAGGCTGGATAGCCTCAAAATTGTGTCTTGGAACTGGCTTCTGCAGGATTTTTTGCCATGTCCAAGAAGCAGAAGGGGGGGGCCAGAAGGACACAAGTTCCTGAGGTGGATGAGGAGCACCTCCTTGACACCTGCCTGAGCCATGTCCAGAAAGCTGGTGTCTCTGCCAGTTTTGCCTTAGGAGCCTACTTCCACACAGAAGCCAGCCATGCTGTGAGAGGAAGTGCCCTGGCAGACCTTCAGCATGTAGTAGAAGATTTGCTGAAAGTGAGCTCCACACTGGAGTTCAAGTACTCAACCCTGAAGAGGGTGTTTGTTGAAGTGCTGAAGCAATTCCCTGGCCTGAAGGACAGGTTCCCTGTCAGCCAACAAGGGAATGCTGCCAAGGCATTTGCAGATGGCATTTTGGTTGTCTGCAACCATGCCAGGAGGATTGGCAGAGATGAGGGCAGACTGGCTGAGGCTTGCTCCAAACTCACAAGTTTCCAAGCTAAAAAGCTGGAAGAGATAGCAGGGTTGCTGAAAAAAGATGAGCAGCCTGCAAAAAGGTTTGGAGAAGATAAGGAAGAAGCCACCCCAGTAAAGAAGAAGAAGAATGAAGAAGAGAAGAAGGGTGTAAGCCCTGGCACAGCAGCACTGTTGGAAGAGTTCCAGATCCCTTCCACTCAAGAGGGGGAATCAGAAGATGAAGGCCTGCTGGCTTCTGCCAGGAAAAGCAAGCCAATCCCTGTGAGGAAAGCTCTGCTGAAAGCTGAAGTAGCCAAGAAAAGGCCTGCTGCATGCAAGAAACCAGCTGCTGCCTGCAAGAAACCAGCTGCTGCCAAGGCCCCTGGAACTGGCAAACTTGGCGATGAGCAGTCAGTGACACAGCCTTTGATCCTCATGCCCTACAAGAAAGTGGGGAGCTGTGCTGTGAGGATCAGAGGGGGCCAGCAGATACTGCAAGTGAAGAGTCACAAGGGCTTGGAGCAGAGCAAGAAGATTGCAGCAGAGCCGAAGAAGATGTTGGAGGATGGCAAGACTTTGGGTGAAGTGAAGGCCTGCAAGGAGAAGAAGTTGCAAAAGTTGGAGGACATGGGAAAAGAAAAAAATGTTTTGGCCTGATGTGTGGGGTACCTGTGTAGTTTAGCCTACAGCTTTTTAGTGGGCTGGGCATCTGGGTGTAGGTATCAGAAAGCATAGGAAAGCCCCCAAAAAACAATGTTGGCTGGATAATGTTTTTTTTTGTGGACTGGATAGTCCAAAGCATTTTTGTGGGCTGGAAAGCCTAAATAAGGTCTGTTGGCTGGATAGCCCAAATCAATTTTGTGGGCTGGATAGCCCAAATCATTTCTGTGGGCTGAATAGCCAACAATATTTCTGTGGACTGGATAGTCCAAAACATTGCTGTGGGCTGGATAGCCCAAATCATCTGTGGGCTGGATAGCCTACACCATTCTGTGGGCTGGATAGCCCAAAGCATTTCTGTGGGCTGGAAAACCCAAATCATCTGTGGGCTGGATAGCCTACACCATTCTGTGGGCTGGATAGCCCAAAGCATTTTTGTGGGCTGGGTAGCCCAAAAACATTTCTTGAACCAACCATCATGTGTGCCCTCACTAGAAGTGAGGCCCAAAGCTTGGCAAGTAGCAGCCAGCCCAAGGGAGTAGCTGAAGCCATGGACCCTGCTGGGAAGGGCAAGAAGGGTGAGAAGGGCAACAAGGGAGGGTGGACAGAGAACTGGGCAGGAAAAGGAATGCCTCCAGGAGGAGGAGGAGGAGGTGCAGCAGTGTGGAGGCAGAACCTGAGGAGTTTGGCAGAGTTCCACTGTCCAAATATGGAGATTGGACAGTTTCTGTTCCAGCTGGCCCTGTACACCCAGCAGCACACAGGAGTGATGAAGCTGGACTTCGAGTCAACCCGCATGTACCTGATTCGAGTCAAGCAGCAGGTGGCAGAAGGACTGCTGCTGCTGGGCTGAGGGGTTTTGATTTTGGGCTGGATAGCCCTTCACATGTAACCATTATGTGTGGGCTGGAAAGCCATTTTTTTTTGTTAGGCTGGATAGCCTTGAGCCAGGAATAACACAAGTAACACACAGAAACTATATTCAACCTTTAATTACTCTTCATTCTGTGGGCTGGAAAGCCTTGAGCCAAAATAACACAATCAAAATGAACATATACAATTTTTAAGTTTCACCATTCTTCATTTTTTGGCTGGATAGCCTTGAGCCATTTGTTTAGGCTGGATAGCCTTGAGCCAACAAAAAGCATATATATTGCCCATTGGTCCTGCTGCAGGAATGGCAGACCAGGACTTCTACGAGGTGATGGTGGAGAGGATGCTTGCAGCTATGCTGGGGGAAGCTGCAAGGAGTTTGGGGCATACAATGCCTCCATGGTTGCCCCCTGCCACAGCAGCAGCCCCTGCTGCAGCCCCTCCCCCAGCAGCAGCCACAGGAGGAGCCATGGGAGGAGCCCCTGCCCCAGAAGGAGGAGGAGGAGGAGAAGCATGGCCTAATGCTCCCTGGAACAACCCAGCCCCACATGGAGGAAAAGGGAAGAGTGAGGCTGCAAGTGGGGATGGAGGAGGAAAAGGGAAGAGTGATATTGGAGGATCTGGAGGAGGAAAAGGCAGTGAAGGATCTGCAGCACCTGCAGCCCCACATGCAGGAGGAGGAGGAGGAGGAAAAGGCAAGAGTGAAGGAGATGGATCTGCACCAGCTGGAGGAGGAGGAGGAAAAGGCAACAGTGAGGGAGATGGAGCTGCACCACATGAAGGAGGAGGAGGAAAAGGCAAGAGTGGGGGAGATGGAGCTGCACCAGCTGCAGCCCCACATGGAGGAGGAGGGGGAGGAGGAAAAGGCAAGAGTTGGGGAGATGGAGCTGCACCAGCTGCAGCCCCACATGGAGGAGGAGCTTCATCTTCAGCAGGTGGTGGAGCAGGAGGATGGGATGGAAGCTGGGATGGCTGGAGCGATTGGGGCTGGCAAGGAGGATGGGAAGGCTGGGAAGATGGCAGCTGGCATGGTGGAGCAGGTGGTGGAGCAGGAGGGGGAGTTTGGGAACACCAAGGGCAAGATGTACCATGGGCTCAGAAGAATTTTGGTTGCTATTAATTAATTTTCCATTTTTTCATTGAATTCATGCAAGTTTGTTGTTCTCACAGCATGCATTTTAAGCACAGAATGGCCACATGTGCCCAGGAGCCCCAGAGATCTTGAGGACTGGGAAGGGGGCGACAGAGAATTCTGGGAAGCCCTAGTCTTCATGGATCTGGACTATGTGATGATCCACTGTGACTTTGGCAGCATTTCAATGTGTGGCTGGAGAGCCATTTTTGGGCTGGATAATATGTTTTTGTGGGCTGGATAGCCCATTCTCTTGGGCTGGATAGCCCATTCTCTTGGGCTGGATAACCCATTCTCTTGGGCTGGATAGCCCATTCTCTTGGGCTGGATAGCCCATTTTCTTGGGCTGGATAGCCTTTTTTTGTGCTGAGGCAGGGATTGCCAGAGGATCAGCTATGTCACAAAGAAGAGCTGCCTGAGATCTACTCACTGCCAAGGATGTATGAGAGCCTTGCTTGCAATTAGAGTGTTCTGATTCAAGTGGGCTGGAGAGCCCATTATTCACTATGGGCTGGATAGCCCAATTTTCCCTGACCATCCAAGGAGCTGGATGCACATCCTACAGAGGCAGGATGAAGACTATGGATCTCATTCGCAATGTGAGGAAAGCTGAGCTGTGGGAATTGCTGAGTGAAATTGAAAAGGTCTACAAAGAATAGGAAAGCCCTGGTACAGAAGAATGGCTGGACTGGAAAGTCCAAAAATCAACCCCACAAGAAAATGTTTTGTTGTAAGAATTTGTTTCTGCTATGGTTACCAGATTCAGCCATTTCAATGAGGGCTGGCCTTTACTGGAAGAGACTGGCTGGGCTGGAAAGCCTTAAAAAAATAAGAGATTACATTAGCCTCACCATATCTATGCAAATTGTTCCTCAAAATTGCCAGCCAGTCAAAGGAGGCCATGTACAATATTTTTTAAAGACTCCATGAGCCAGATCTGCGCACTAAAGATTTTGGCAAGAAAAAGTGCTGCTTTGGCCTGATGGGCTGGGAAGGGATTGGGCTGGACAGCCCACTAAATGATTCAAATCCATGGGCTGGAGAGCCCACTAAATATTTCAAATGTATGGGCTGGAGAGCCAACTGAATATTTGAGATCTATGGGCTGGGCAGCCCACTGAATATGTGAAATCTATGGGCTGGAGAGCCAACTGGATATTTGAAATATAGCTACCATATTTTTTGGGATGAACATCTCATAAGTGTAGGCTAGGTAGCCTGCAGAAAAACTGGGCTGGAGAGCCTTGAGGTAAAAAAACAATCTTAAAAAATTAAAAAAATGAAAACACCCATGAACTCACAGGAGCTCACATGAGCTCACATGAGCTCACATGAACACCCATGAACACCCATGAACACCCATGAGCACCCATGAACACCCATGAACACCCATGAACACCCATGAATTCACATGAGCACCCATGAATTCATATGAACAACCATGAATTTACCAAAACCATTTTCATTTTGTTTTTTTAAAAACATGATTAACCCCTTTTTTCCATTTTTTTTAAATATTTATTTATTTTTAATATTAGTTTTTAAGTTTTTCTTATTCACACAAATATGTTCACACAAATATTGTTATTTAATAGTATTTGCTAAAAATGTTCTTTGGGCTGAATAGCCCCTTGAGCCAATTCTATTTTTTCAAACAAAATGTTTCAATCCTTATTTTGTAATTTTGTTTTTGCTAATATTTTCTTTGGGCTGGATAAGCCCTTGAGCCAAATCCAACATAGCTGGAAGCCCCTTTGAGAAGCTGGGCTGGATAGCCCCAGATTGGTTTCATGGCCCTTTGGGCCACAGCCACATCCAAGTGAGCCAAACATTACAGAGCAGCTGCTGGCCCAAAAGCAAAAGAAGCCCAGTAGACCCTAGTGAGCCCAGCCATGAAGAGGCCTGCAGCTTCCTTGCAAAGGCCTGCTTCCAAGCAGGAGGAGCAGGAAGCTGAGCCAGAGGAGCCTGAGCATGTTCCTTTGACTGCTCAGGCAGTCAAAGACCACAACAAGTTTTGTGAGGAGGCTCAAGGCATGAGTGTTGGCCAGTTTGAGAAAGCCTTGTCCTGTCTGGATGGTGCTGCAAGCCAAAGGCTTTGGAAAGCTTTCGAAAAGTCCAGGAAGTCTTCTGGAGAACAGGAGAAATACCTGGAGGCCACCACCAGTGCCAAGGAAGGAAGCTTGGCCAAGAAGAGAAAGCTTCTGTTTGGATGGGTCTGTGATGGCAAAGAGACAGGAGAGCACTACAAGTCCATGGTGGAGACTGTCTCCCTGAAGAAGTCTGAGGGTGTCACCAGCACTTGGCTGACAAAGAACCAGGCACTGCAGCACTGGGGCAAAGAAGAGCTACAAGAAAGAGTGGCCTCTGGAAGTATAGTGGCCAGGAAGGACCCTTCTGACTCCAAGTACTGGCAGTTCAAGGCCAACACTGAGGAGTCTAAGGTGTTTGTGAACAGGGAGAAAGCTGTGTCCTGGGCCAAGAAGGGCAAGAGCAACAACAAGGAGCTGAGCAAACTGCTTCAGACCCAGGGCCTGGAGAAGCTGACCGAGAAAGAGTTCACTGCCCCTACTGACTCTGAGGAGGCCAGCTGGCTTGGCTGAAGCTTTGGGCAACAAGTCTGAGAAGAGCACCCAGGAGAAAAAAGAGAAGAAGGAGAATAAGAAGGACAAGTGGGAGGAGATATCCCAGGTATGTGAAGATGAGAGCCAAAGTCAGCTGCAAAGCAGACTGATGAGCTTCAAGGTGGAGCTGATCAAGGACTTGGCAGTGTTGGATGGCTACACCCATGAGAAGGGCCTGGCAAAGTCCTTGCTCAAGGAGGCTGTGCAGGAACACAAACGAGGGCAAGCTGTTGTGTCCCTGCTGGCCAAGCTGCACAAGAGCAAAGCCAAGAAGAAAGAAGCAAAGCCAGCCCTCCAGACAGCCCTGACAACTCTGAGGGCCTTGAAGGCCAAGAAGCTCCAAGTGGCCAAAGCCTTGAAGGAGTAGGTTTTTGCCTGAGAAGAGGAGGGGTGCCCATCCAAGTGTTAAGCTGTGAAGCACACTGTTTGTAGCTGAGATGATGGGAAGGGCATCCCTTGCCAAAGTCTTGCAATGGCAAGCTGGCAAACAGAACCGCTACCAACAGTTTTTGACAGCAAAAAAGCTTGCCAGCCCTCTGAAAACTGCTGAGCTGGATAGCCCCTGGCCAAGGTTGAACTGGGCTGGACAACCCAAGGTCAAAGTTAAGTTGGGCTGGACAGCCCCTGCCAAGGTTAAGTTGGGCTGGACAGCCCCTGTCAAGGTTTAGTTGGGCTGGACAGCCCAATGTCAAAATTAAGCTGCATTACAGCTTTGGCTCCAAGTTTTAGGAAACATGGAGGAGCCATGTGCCCTCTGGGTACTGCTTCTCAGGAAGTTCAGCATAGGAAAGCTATCTGCCCTAGAAGTGCAGGAGGTCGCTTCAGCTGCAGTGAAGAGTGGTGCTGACAATGCAGAGATGAGAGCCCTGCAAGGATTAGGAGGTATGGGGCATGCAAGAGGAAATGTTCACAGGGACTTGGTGAGAAAATATTTCTCACTGCTGCTGTCCCCAGAGCCATGGGAAATCCAATGCCCCTTGGCTGTGAAGCAAGGGGGGCACAGGATTGAGAAGGAAGCATCTACTCACATGTTGCTGCCCCATCTTTGGGTGATTGAGGCCCAGGAGAACAACTTCTTGGGTAACCTGTGCTGCAAGGATGAGGAGATTGCTGCCTTTTGGAAGAGTCAAATGAAGAGCCCCCAAATGACACCTGAGCTGAAACAAGTGATAAAGACTTCACAGCCAAGCCAGCTCCCAGTACCATACCTCTTGCATGGAGATGCAGCACCCTTCACAGAAGTGGACAGTATCCAAGTCCTGAGCTTCAGGCCTGGTTCTGTGATGGCCTGGGTGTTAGCCTGTTTTGTTTCCAAATTCCTGTGTGTTGGGCTGGATAGCCCATTTTTTTGCCTTGGGCTGGACAGCCCCTGCTGCCATGTCCCTGCCAGGTGCCTGCTCTCCAGCAAAGCAGTGACCCAAAGCCAGATGCTCATCTCTGCCCTGCCAAAGCTGGCCATGACCAAGGAGACCTGCAAGAGGATGATGGAAGTTTTGGCTTGGTCTTGGCAAGTGCTATGGGATGGAGTGGTGCCCAAAAAGGATAAGGCTGGGGACCCCATTGAGAAGCACAGAGGTAAGAGGATGAGAAAGGGGGTGCTGTGGTCAGTGAGTGGAGATTTGGAATGGTTTGCATCAGAATTTGGCTTTCCATATTCTGCAGCCAATATGCTTTGCCCCTTCTGCCTGGCAGATCAATTCAAGGAGGGGAGCCCCAGACCTTTCACAGACTTCAGGGCCACAGCAGCCTGGAGACAGACTACTCTACCTCCAGCCAAACTTCAGAAGAAATTTGCAGGTCACCCACTTTTTAGAGGAGGAGGAGGAGCTCCACATGCATCAGCTTTGAGCATTAAGTTGGATATACTACATGTGCTTGACCTGGGAGTGGCAGCCTATGCCCATGGCTCCTTGCTGTGGAGCATTATGGAAGAGCTGCCAGGAGCAAGCAGAGCTGTGAGGCTAGCCAACTTGAACCAAAAAGTGGTGGAGGCCTATGACAAGGTTGGGCTGGAAGCCCAAAAGAGGATGAAGCACTTGTCTTTGTCAGACCTAGCAGAAACTGCAGAAGAATACCCCTGCCTGAAACATGTCAAAGGAGCAAAAATTCGCTACTTTGCCCCTGCAGCCTTCGAGTTGGCCAAGGAGTGCAATGAGACCAAGAGTGGGAAGCACAGAGAAGCACTGGCTAAGCAGTTGGTGAAAGTGTACAAGATTCTTGGAAGCAGTTGGGAGGATTGGGACTTTGAAGCTTTCAAGAAAGCAGTGGACGACTTCATGGCCCACTACAGCTGGCTGGCAGCCAATGCATTGCATGAAGGCTTGCACCTCTGGAGTTTAGTTCAGAAATCCCATGTTTTGCTTCACCTGGCAGAGCAGAGCAAATTCATGCACCCCTGCCTGAATTGGACATATGGGAGTGAATCCTTCATGGGCTGGACAGTCCAAATCGCCTCCAGCTGCACAAGTGGCACTCCAGCTGAGAAGCTTCCTTTGAAAGTCTTGCAAAAATTCAGGCTTGTGTTTCACCTGTACCTGAAAGGGTACATTTCTTTAGATGAAGATGTCGATGATAACAGATGAGCCAAAAAGCAGCCAATGTTAGGCTGGATAGCCTTGCTGCCCTGCAAGATTAGAAGGTTGTAGGCTGGACAGCCTCTGCAGCTGAGCAGAAATTGGAAACTCTTTGGGCTGGACAGCCTGGTGACCTTGCAAAATGTGTGGCCACAGCCTTTTTTGGTTCTGAAAGCTGGGCCTAGAAACAAACAGAGCCCTTGTGCCATGGAAGGCACCCTGCCAAAGAGAAGGAGGGTGAGCTATGTGAAAGGTGAGCTGACAGCCAGCCCAGAGCTTTGGGCTGCAGGGTGGAGACTTGACCCACATGAGAACAGCCAAGTTCTGGTGCCTCCTCCAGGCCTGGAAGAAGATGATGTGCAAGGAGAAAATGATGGGCAAGGAGAAGATGAGAGGCAAGGAGAAAGCACACAAGCTGAAGAAGGGCCCCAGTGTGAAGAAGAAAGCAAAGAACCTGAAGGAAATTAGGTGTGCAAACTAGAGCTGCTGTGGCGTACCAAAGCCAGCTCCAAGGAAAAAAAAGCTGCTTTAGTTGGCTGCACCACCAACACCAGGGCTGGATAGTTGGGGTGAAAAGCCCCATGAACATGGGCTGGCATAACCTGTGGGCTGGACAGCCCTATCATAACATGGGCTGGACAGCCCCATCATAATATGGGCTGGACAGCCCTATCATAACATGGGCTGGACAGCCACATCATAACATATGGACTGGACAGACCCATCATAACATGGGCTGAACAGCCCCATCATAACATGGGCTGGACAGCCACATCACATGCAACATGGGCTGGACAGCCCCACCACATACTCACCTCATAATTTTCTTTTGAAAAACAAAATTTTCTATTGAATTTTCATTTCAGTTTCTATTGAAAAAACAAACTTTTCTATTGAAATTTCACTTGAATTTTCTATTGAAAAAACAACATTTTCTATTGAATTTTCACTTGAATTTTGCACTTGAAAAAAAACAAAAAACGATTGAATTTTTGCAGTTTTCAAGTGGCGATTGAAAAAATCAAGTGCGATTGAATTTTTTCAAGTGAGGATGCTCTGGGTAGGCTCGATTTTAGACGACATCACCCCATAGTAGGATCCAAGCGCTGCTGCCTCTGTGTCGTGAGAGAGCTGAAGCAAGAGCCAAAAGACCTCCGCTTGACGCGACAATGAGAGATTTAACCACTGAACATGGAGACAAAGGGGATAAAACTGACCATGAAACATGATGGTATAACGGGGTATGATGATAATGGAAAATGGATATAATGGGATGTGTTTGTATATTAAAAAACGCTATGATCCATGATAACGGAGGATTTGTTCCAGGTAAACTAAGATAGCTATGGAAACATGGCCGATAGAAATGGATGATTTGCCATGATTTGCCTAAAAAATGGTGATTTCCATGGCTATGTTAAAAATTAGGACATAGTGTGTGTGTATATATATATATATAAATACAAATCATTTTGTGGGGGCACAAATGGCAAGTCTAACTGGAAAAATGCTCATTCACCCATGGATGTAAGATCACCCTATCTCAAGACAGACGAAGTTGGAGTTCAACGGCTCAAAAAAAGAAGTGTACATAGGAGATATTGGCAGTGGGATCAAATCTACACTAAAATAATACCAAACTTGAAAACCTGACCCACTGGAGTTAAAATAAGATTTTTGTCTGTCTGCACAAAAAATCGGATTCATCTAGGCCACTCTGTCCCTGATATCTATGATATTGGAAAAACTTGAGCTGACCCCGGCTGACCCAAGATTTCTTGCGTTATGCCTGATATACTGGTGATACAAGCTGTTAATTTCCAAATGACGCCCCAACAAAAACGGCTCAGTCTGCTGTTAATTCCCTGGTCTTTCAATGTCTCCAACATCGTCAGAAAGTGATGAGGTCCGTCTTCCACTCCAAGTGGAATTTATAGGGCTGCAAAAATGAGACAAAACCCCAAAACACTCATCGGATTACTGTTTTGAGTTTAGATGATTTCAAGGCTGATTATAGATATAAGAAAGGCTGATTATAGATATAAGAAAGAGTAAACCAGGTAAGCCAAACAAAAACTAATGGTTGAACCATTTTTCCCACAGTTGTGGCCCTATAGCCAGTTCTTCTACATGAGATGAGATAACTCCTGCAACTTGTTGGTTATGTATATATATATATAAATCAATATCACTTCCGTGAGGTTATAAAACAACCATTTGTAACTTGTATCATGGATGTTCCCATGATTTTCCTATGAAAAACTGCGAAATGTGTCAGAACTGCGACACCAAGGCGCTACCGCGACAGCACCCACAGACATGGAACTGGTCATGGAGAGCCAACGTTGATCCTCGGGAACGATATGCCATCGGGCAATGGGTGGTTCAAAAATGGGGAATTCATCATGACAAACATATGATTTACTGGGATTTAAGCAGCAAAAATGCTGGTTATATCGGATTTAAGCAGCAAAAATTGTGGTTATATCGGATTTAAGCAGCAAGCCAAAGGCTTTGGAAAGCTTTCGAAAAGTCCAGGAAGTCTTCTGGAGAACAGGAGAAATACCTGGAGGCCACCACCAGTGCCAAGGAAGGAAGCTTGGCCAAGAAGAGAAAGCTTCTGTTTGGATGGGTCTGTGATGGCAAAGAGACAGGAGAGCACTACAAGTCCATGGTGGAGACTGTCTCCCTGAAGAAGTCTGAGGGTGTCACCAGCACTTGGCTGACAAAGAACCAGGCACTGCAGCACTGGGGCAAAGAAGAGCTACAAGAAAGAGTGGCCTCTGGAAGTATAGTGGCCAGGAAGGACCCTTCTGACTCCAAGTACTGGCAGTTCAAGGCCAACACTGAGGAGTCTAAGGTGTTTGTGAACAGGGAGAAAGCTGTGTCCTGGGCCAAGAAGGGCAAGAGCAACAACAAGGAGCTGAGCAAACTGCTTCAGACCCAGGGCCTGGAGAAGCTGACTGAGAAAGAGTTCACTGCCCCTACTGACTCTGAGGAGGCCAGCTGGCTTGGCTGAAGCTTTGGGCAACAAGTCTGAGAAGAGCACCAAGGAGAAAAAAGAGAAGAAGGAGAATAAGAAGGACAAGTGGGAGGAGATATCCCAGGTATGTGAAGATGAGAGCCAAAGTCAGCTGCAAAGCAGACTGATGAGCTTCAAGGTGGAGCTGATCAAGGACTTGGCAGTGTTGGATGGCTACACCCATGAGAAGGGCCTGGCAAAGTCCTTGCTCAAGGAGGCTGTGCAGGAACACAAACGAGGGCAAGCTGTTGTGTCCCTGCTGGCCAAGCTGCACAAGAGCAAAGCCAAGAAGAAAGAAGCAAAGCCAGCCCTCCAGACAGCCCTGACAACTCTGAGGGCCTTGAAGGCCAAGAAGCTCCAAGTGGCCAAAGCCTTGAAGGAGTAGGTTTTTGCCTGAGAAGAGGAGGGGTGCCCATCCAAGTGTTAAGCTGTGAAGCACACTGTTTGTAGCTGAGATGATGGGAAGGGCATCCCTTGCCAAAGTCTTGCAATGGCAAGCTGGCAAACAGAACCGCTACCAACAGTTTTTGACAGCAAAAAAGCTTGCCAGCCCTCTGAAAACTGCTGAGCTGGATAGCCCCTGGCCAAGGTTGAACTGGGCT